TGTCTTCATTCTAAAAAAAATTTTTAGACCTAAAATGATTCGTCTAACAATCTTTTTTTTCGAATGAAGACATCTAAGCTCCCATATTACGTACAGTAGGTGGCCTAACTCATGAAATGTTAACCGAAATTCCGAAATGCGTCTTCGTTTCGAAAAAATAAATTAAGTAGGGTTGTAGAACTGGCTAGCGTGCAGCATACTTCTGTAATAGTCCAGTTACCTCAGGATGCCGGCTTTCGAGTGAACTTCGTTCCGGCTGCCTGCAAAAACCACATTCCGTAAAAAATGACTACTTATGTAGCATGAATTTTTCTCATGCATAATTTGGTTTTAAAAAAGTTTCTAATTGTGGGACTTTTAAATACCATGAAATGGCCGTTCATAAACCGTCACATGTCTGCATTTACCATTGTGGCTTGCAAAGTTAACAACAACAGTTTTATGAACCCTACATGGTCCCCCTTTATTACCGTAACGAAATGTGTGGTTTTTTGTACGCAAAAAATCTACGGCCTGTAGTCTAGAAATCCTGAATCCAAGTGTAACGGTAGAGCGGGCTCAAAATTATTTGGGAATCGGAAAACTTTTTTAAAACCGAATTATGTTCCTCCCCGAGCATAAAATTAGAAGAGGACGGAATTATCCACCGAATGAGCAAAAAATGAATATTTTTATGCATATTTTCCATGAAATATTATTGGACTTTTATGGGGCATTGGAAATCAATGAGAAAAATGTATGCTATTTAGGTAGTCATTTTTTACAGAGTATAGTTTTTGCATGCAGCCGGAAGGCAGGTCACTCGAAAGTCAGCATCCTGAGGTAACTGGACTATTATAGACTTATCCTGCAGGCTGGCTAGTTCTACAACCCTGCTTAATTAATCTTTTCGAAACGAAAACGCATTTCGGAATTTCGGTTGACATTTCATGAATTAGCCCATTTACTGTACATTGTTACTATGGTAAAATCACACGAAGTACGTAGACTACCAACTGTGTGCTGGCAGTTGATGAATATTACGCGGTCACTCCCTTGTGGCCGATGGATTTCGGCCCAAGTATTAGTACGAACTCCCGGTCTGTGCCTATAGGGCTTCGTTCCGAATGATTTACTCCAATTGAATGCGCTGGGAAATTAAAAATCCACAATTTCAGAACAGAAAGCGCACAGGGAAAGCTGCAGGGCCCACTGATGAGCCCAACCCCTCACAGCTAAGTCATCAGACGACAGAATCCTGGCGAAACACGCGTGTCTGGGCTCTGAGCTAGCTATCTGTGCTGTCGGTTTGGCAAATCACTTACCCAGCTCTCACGCCCATGACGGTCATGACGAGGCCAAGCTGGGCAGGAGCCGTTGCTACAGACCACGGACCGAGTGTATTGTCGTTTCGACACTAGCGTATGCGAAATTCGATAACCCCTCGTATGTGCGGGGACCTGCATCTGGGTGTAGTCAATCTAGCTTAATATGCGCCTGCTTCACACTAAACAACTGTGCGCTCAGGTCAATGTGTTGCTCTATTCCCGTCAGTGGTGGTGTTCATCGCGCCTGAACTCATCCATGTCCGAAAATGACGGTATTTTTTACTGTATTGCCTCGTAATACGTCCTCCGCAGACTAACCTGTGTCTCCCTCTCTCTCTCGCCTTCTCCTTCCATCAAGTCGGTCGCGATAATTGTCAGCACGACGATCGCAGCGTTGGGCAGCCACTACCTTTTCTACAAGGTTAACCCAACCGCTGGCCTCCTGATGCTGCCATACGTCCTGTGGCTCTGCTTCGCATCCTCAATCAACATCGGCATGGCGCGCCTCAATCCGCCGCCCACGGAAAAGAAGTCTTCCTAGGGAATTCTCTGCTTCTGTGGGAGATTTCCTCTCCGCTCTATGTCTCAGGGATTCCCCTTATCATTATTACGCAACAGTTTTAAGGTTTTTCCTTCCCCCCTCTGTTACTTTTTCCGCAAGTTTTTATCCTCTAGCCTTCTGCAGTAGTTGTTTGGTTTTCCGGCAACATTTGAATAAGTACTACCTGTTGCGTGTCTGCCTTTGTGTATTTAGTGTTAAATGTTCTCCACTTCCTATAATAGTTTTCTTTTCTCGGAACCGACCCGGCACGCCAAAATTACCCCTCGAGCAACATCGGCGGGAAATTTGTTTAATTTGTATAAGTATCGTGATCGTACAATTCATCTCATTTCAAAGCCCGTTTTCGTCCGTCAGTCTTAGGTTTAATACTGCTCGGTTTTTAACCTACTGGCGCAAGTAGTCAAGAACGAATGGCCAACCATTAGGACTTTATGCACCCCTCTCTCTCCATCTCCCTCGGCTAAACCGTCTCAGTATACGGCGCGGTACTTCGGGATTTAGAGTGATTCGGTTGTCGTCAGGTTTGCTGACGTCACACAGCGGTTATGCGGAACGACAAGGTGAAGTTTTCAAAGCACAGACACTCACACGATGAGAATTCGACCGTCGTTGCCGACGATGTCCACCGTGTGCTCCGCAACAGGAGGAGAGCAGGTGCGGCGACTTGTGCATGATTTAGTTTACAATTGTGGTGGACTTGCACAGCATCTATCGCACTCCCTCCTCCCCACCTGGGCCCGGTGTCAAGACAGAGTCAAGAAAACGAGAAGTGGGAGAGGGTGCAGGTAGCCGACGCTGCTGAAGTCGCCCTAGGCTTGTCGTCACACCCTGCTCGGATCCCACGGAGTCGGAGTTCCATAAAGGCGACATGAAGAAGGAGCCATTGCGGCCTGACTTTTAGACCACCAGTCGGCGGCTCCACTCAAACACAACACTGGGCCGACTGCGAGGTCCACATTATCCCGCCAGTTGACAACCTTCCAAACCACGGCTTCTAGCGGACCGTGACAGCTTTAAGCGCGTCAGATTGTTTATAGTGAGGAAAGTGTGCTGAGTCGTCGACCTCTCTCTTCCCATTCTCAGGCCCCAGTCAGTGTCCGAACCGGCCAGTTGGCAGGTGCGGGGGATGAGTGTGGCGCTTGGCATATATGATGACCTTGTCAGCGCGCGC